GTTCTCTTTCCTTCGTTTGTTATCTTTTTGTCTCTTTTGACTATCTGTCTCTCTCTCTCTCTGCCTTCCTCTCACAATCTGGTCTTTTTCCTCTTCATTCTATTTGGCCGCCACAGTATCCCAAGTTGCAACATTGTCTTTGGATGTCTGTTGAGATTTACAGAATTCCTTTGAGGCAATTTGCAAACGCTCTGCAGACTTGAACTTCTCTAAGATATTTCCAAAGACCAACATGGTGGAGGAGCAGATGGCTGGGTGGAGTTTGGGGACACGACAGAGGAGAGGCAGATGTTGGAGGTGCATGAAAGCACAAATTCTGTGGACTGGCAGGAAATGCTTCTTCCTTCGGAATTCTACACCTCAGAGGGTTATGTGAAGTACTGCCAAGTCCAAGAACAGTGAATGTTTGTTCATGAAGAGAATCAAGGAATATGGGTGTAGAGCAAGGAAGTGGAGTTGAAGATTAACCATTGATCGAATGATGGCACTAGTTGGAGGGGTTGAATGTAAGCCTGCTCCTACTTCTGAGATTTCCTACCTTTTGGAGGCTTGCTTTTGTGTACAACACATTGTTTTTAATACATTTGCAATGCTGAGCATTCAAAGACAGATCAGAAAAATGGTTTGAAACCGTATATAATGATGATCTCCTTTCTGCAGTTTAGAATAGTTCCCAACATGAAGCCAATCTAAAGGACATCATCAGTTAGAGTGTTGGAATCGATCAGCACAGTTGTGTAGTGCTAGCTGAAGAAACATAGCTATTACTAGAGGGCATTTGTTTTCATGTAATCATCCTTTTTGCTGCAAAACTATATGATAAACAATCCCATCGTCTCTTGATTACATCTCTAATCTTTCTCAGCCTTTTTATACATAAACTCTAATCTCATTTTACCGCTGTGAAATCAGCTATAACACTTTGTGCTAAGCCTACACCGAGATAGATTTTACTCTCATTAGATATTTATTTTCTTCTGTATTTCCTTTTAATTTTTTGATCGACATCTGCAGATCACTGTAAAATCATCAATGATGGCAAATCCTTGCCTCGCGAGGTCATTCACATGTGGTGTCCCTTTTATGACTCTAACGGTGGCAACTAATCTCAATTAGTGTGGGAAACTGATAGGAGGAGCTAATAACTTTTTCTTTATCCATTCATGGGATGAGGGTGTCGCTGACTAGGCAGCGTTTATTGCCCATCCCTAATTGCCCAGTGGGCAGTTCAGAGTCAACCACGTTGCTGTGGGTCTAGAGTCATATGGGGTTTTCCAACAATCAACAATGGATTCATGGTTATCATTAAATTCTTAATTCCAGATATTTATTGAATTCAAATTCCACCATCTGCCATGGCAGGATTCGAACCCAGCTTCGCAGAACATTACCTGGGTCTTTGGATTACCCGTCCAGCAATAATACCACTCGGCTATTACATCCCCAAAACATGAAAGGTGGAATGAGAAAAGGTACCACATTGTGTAGATGTTAGAAGAAGAATTGAACATTTTGTTCATTTAGGCATCAAGAAAGGGCCAGAGTAATTATTCTAAAATAGAAGCATCCAGTGAGAGAGTTTTTTTTAAAATCTCTATTGTGGCAATAATTTTAGTGTAGGCATTCAACCTCATATGTTTTGTTCTACTTTCCCACTAGCTGCATTTCTGTTGTATTTAGGTGCATCAAAATATTGACCATCCTGGTTTCAGTTACAGTCTCAGAGATAGCTTGGATTAATTGGGGGTCACAGTCTGTATTCCTTGGGAATCACACCAAAGCTATGTAGATGTACACTGAACCACTGGAATCCTTATAACTTTACTGAAGGAGCTTTTTGTTAGTGCTAACCTTTGGGTGGGCTAATGCTTATTGAGCTTGGGAGATTGTGGGTGGGAGGTGGGGGTCAAGAGCCCCGAATCCACATTTACTGATTGACTCTTCCAGCCAGTTGGTGGAAGAGATTTTCATCCACTTGTTCCAATTAGATTTCAACTCAAATCCTACAAACAAGAGGATGGCTATCTGGGGAAGGTTTAACACCTGAATACTATTATCAGTTGGATAGATACACTTGTCCAAATGCAAACAACATGTTGTGTTCTAAACTGGAAGAACAAAGGTATTCTAGTGACACTGGGGACCATAGGGACTCCATCTAAAATGAAGAGGTGGGAGGAGGCTTGTATAAAGGACAAACACTGTCCTGGACCATTAGCTCCAATGGCCTGCTTCTCTGATGTCCCTTCTATGTAATTCCCTGTAGGACTTTCCTTGTACCAATTCATTTTTTTCTCTACCATCCTGACAAGCTGGATTTGGACTAGGGCCAGTGGCCGAGATAAACAGTGCTTTTAAATTCACCAGAGATAGTAGGAACTGCAGATGCTGGAGAATCCGAGACAACAAGGTGCAGGGCTGGATGAACACAGCAGGCCAAGCAGCATCATAGGAGCAGAGAGGCTCTCTGCTCCTAT